AGCGGACTTCAAAATGCAAAAATGGAAGCTTTATGATCAGTTGAAAAATCAGCACAAAGAGTTGCAAAAATCCTTTATTTAAAACTACCTCTTCACTCAATCGCCAACTTCGACAATTTAACTTAATTATACACATCTTAACAGCCAATGTTTGCCTGTGGTTGACGCTGCGAGTTCCAGCTATAGCTTGTTTCCTCTCTTTCACGATGGCTGCCATTAATTCAGAGAGACAGTCAAGCATCACTGGGGTACCGTCAGTGCATACACCATCCAGATTTTATATTGAGGGACTGTTTTATGTAAAAGGTCATAAACTTCTACCAGAATTTCGGAAGCCTTTGATGCTGTTCTGAGTGCTTTTGAAAATATAATTTATTCTTCCACAGATAACTCATCCACAAGTAAAGAATAGACGAGCACCTGACAGCACTGAGCTTAAACACTAATATCATCGCTCTGGGCTGAATAAAATCGGTGCGAAGGCACTGAATGCACTTCCTCTTATATGTATGACTGAACTCGACTGCATTACCTTGAAACACAGATCTGGTCTTGGGCCCAAGATAGGACTAGAGACTAGACGTCGGTCGTAACGTTGACTCTGAAGTCGACAGATGCTTGATAGAGCACTGTCGCTTATTGAATGCTGAACAACAGTAAAATCCCTCGGTCAGTAAAACCGGTCACGACCAAATCGACATTTCGCACTTGGGGCCATAGATGGTGTACAGTCAATTTTTTTAGGATACCACCTATACAGTTTTACTTAGGGATAGTGTACCCAAAAATTATCTCCTTACGCACTTTTAGTTCATCAGCACGATTCTTCATTGAGGTCTCAGACAGAGTAGTTTTTGGTAATTTTTCTGGCTTTCGGCACCAAGCATAATAGTCGCTGCCCTTAAGAAGCACGCTTTAAAAACTGCCTCTCCAATCGTGTGCGATTTGTCTAGGAAATTATTAATACAGCTCGTAAGGTGCTTCCATCAGTTTGGCTGTCTCCGGATAAAAAGGTCCGTTACTGTCTAGCTTCGGGCTGGTGTGACATCATTCTTATAAATGTTCACGCCCCAAGAGAAGATAAAATTGATGACATAAAGGGCAGATTCTATGAAGAACTAGAATATGTATTCGATAAATTCCCGAAATACCCTATGAAAATTTTGTTAGGAGATTTCAATGCCAAAGTAGGGAGGGAAGACATTTTCAAACCAACAATTGGGAATGAGCGTTTGCATGAAATTAGTAATGATAATGGAGTTAGAGCTGTAAACTTTGCCACATCAAAAAATCTTACAATGTTCTCACATCGTAACATCCATAAATTTACTGGGGCATCTCCTGATGGGAAGATATACAATCAAATAGACCATATTTTGATAGATAGGAGACATCACACAAGTATAACTGATGTCCGATAATTCAGGGCAGCAGATTGTGATACTGACCACTACCTGGTGGTGGCAAAGTTTAGGGAAAGACTGGCAGTGAGCAAACAAACAACACACAGAGTTCATATGGACAGGTTCAATCTCAAGAAATTAAATGCGGTAGAGGGTAAAGAGCAGTATTGTGTTAAAATCTGAAATAGGTTCACGGCTTTGGAAAACTTGGAAACTGAGGTGGATGTTAACAAAGCTTGGGAAACGATTAGAGAGAATATAAAAATTTCTGCCAAGGCAAGTCTAGGTTATTATGAACTGAAGAAGCATAAGCCACGGTTCGATGAAGGATGCTCTAAATTATTAGATGAAAGAAAGCAGGCCAAATTGCAATGGTTACAGGATTCAAGCGAGTTAAATGGGGATAATCTGAACAGTATAAGACGTGAAACCAACAGTCATTTCACGAACAAAAAAAAGGGAATGTCTGAAAGGCAAAATTGATGAACTTGCGATGAACAGTAAGAACAAGAACATTAAGAGACCTGAATAGAGGAATAAATCAATTTAAGTGGGGTTCCCAGCTTAGCAGTAACTTAGTGAAGGATGAGAATGGTGATCTGCTTGCAGATTCCCACAACATTTTGAATAGGTGGAGGAACTACTTCTCTCAGTTAATGAATGTACATAGGTTCAGTGCTGTTAGGCATTCTCTCAGTTAATGAATGTACATAGGGTCAGTGCTGTAAGGCAGACAGAAATCCATACAGCTGAGCCATTAGTACCTGATCCTAGCCCTTTTGAGTTTGAAAGTGCTATTGGAAAATTGAAATGGTATAAATCGCCAGGTAATGATCAAATTCTGGCTGAACTCGTTGAAGCAGGAGGAGAAATATTACGTTCTAAGATCCACAATCTAGTTACTTCTATTTGGCATAAGGAAAAATTGCCTGATCAGTGGAAGGAGTCTATGATTGTACCAGTTCACAAGAAGGGTGATAAAACTGACTGTGGTAATTATCGGGGGATATCACTGCTATCAACATCGTATAAAATTTTGTCCAATATTCTTCTTTCAAGGTTAGGTCCATATATATATGAAATTATTGGGGATCATCGGTGTGGGTTTCGACGTAACAGATCAACTACAGATCAGATCTTTTGCATTCATCAGATATTGGAGAAAAAGAGGAGTATGATGAGACAGTACATCAGCTATTCATAGACTTCAAGAAAGCTTATGATTCAGTTATGAGGGAATTATTGTAACCATTCTAATAGAGTTTGGGATAAGCATGAAACTAGTTAGGTTGATTAAAATGTGTTTAAACGAAACCTATAGTAAAGTCCATGTAGGTAAACATTTGTCTGTTAAATTTCCTATCCAGAATGGTCTAAAGCAAGGAGATTCTTTATTGCCACTCCTCTTCAACTTTAGTTTAGAATATGCCATTAGGAAGGTCCAGGGAAACCAGGTGGGACTGAAACTAAATGGGACACATCAGCTGCTGGCCTATGCTGATGATATGAATCTACTGGGTGATAATGTAGATACCATAAAGAGAAACACACATACTTTAATTGACGAAAGTAAAGAGGTTGGTCTAGAAGTAAACGCTGAGAAAACTAAGTAAATGTTGCTGTCTCATCACCAAAATGCAGGGCAAAATCATGATATAAAGATAGGAAACAGATGTTTTGAAAATGTGGCACGATTCAGATATTTGGGAACAACTATAACAGATCGAAAACTGATTAGGAGGAAATTAAGAGGAGACTGATCTCGAGTAATGCTTGCTATCATTCAGTTCAGAACCTTTTGTCTTCTCGTCTGCTGTCTAAAAACATAAAAATCAGAGCATACAACAATACAATTTTGTCTGTGGTTCTGTATTGGTGTGAAACTTGGTCTCTGACATTAAGGGAGGAACATAGACTGAGAATGTTTGAAAACAGGGTGTTGAGGGGAATATTTGGACCGAAGAGAGATGAAGGGACAGGAGGGTGGAGAAAAGTGCATAATGAGGAGCTTCATGACTTGTACTTTTCTCTAAGTATAATTAGAATCATAAAGTCAAGGAGAATTGGGTTTGCAGGTCATGTAGCATGAATGGAGGCGACGAGGAATGCATATAGGATATTGGTGGGAAAGCCAGAAGGAAGGAGACCCCTGGGAAGTCCAAGGCATAGGTGGGTGGACAATATTAAAATGGATCTTAGAGAGATAAGATGGGATGGTATGGATTGGATAGATCTGGCTCAGGATAGGAACCAGTGGAGGGCTCTTGTGGACACAGTAAAGAACCTTCGGATTCCATAAAATGCTGGGAAATTCTGGAGTAGCTGCAGAATTGGCGGCTCCTCAAGAAGGCTTCAGCTCCATGAGTAAGTAAGTATATCAGGCTTTCTGTTCACAATAAGACCAACATATATCAGTTTAGAAGGTTTTATTCTCTTTCTTTTATCGGAGAAAAATTATCGATGCAAGCTAAAATTTTGTGTACTGGCACTGAGTTTTATTTACAACTACTATTTGTCAACGTTTCTAATCTCCGCTCTTTTCTATGACTTTAAGCCATTTGGAAACAAGGGCCTCTGTTACCTGCCAGTAGATGTTCTCTGCAATCTCTTGAAATCACGTTCTCACTTCTGCAACAACTTTGTCAATACAAAACTTTCCTCCGCATATAGCACTCTTCGGTGGATCAAAAAGATGGGAAGTCCGATGTTGACAAACTTGTGTCAAATGGTGGATGGAGCAACACAGACCAATGCCAACTTTTTTGTGGCTTCCTTTGTTCGCAGACTGGCGTGCGGTCATCTTCCATTTTCCTTTGTCGTCGAATTCGCTGCATTCGGCCCTTGAATTTGTGAAGAATACCAACATACACGTACATTTCGGACTTAATGGTTGCTTTCCATCATGCCAATCAGAATCCCTGGGTATGAAAGCCAAGGTTGGGGAGTAGCTGCGTGGTTCGTCGTGAAGGTTGGAGTTCCTTTGTTCTGATGATCTCGCACGTTTTGCATAATATCCAACAATTCTTCTACGAATACCGACAGTCGCATCTCTGTCAACGTTCTGCGGACGTCTGTAAATATTCCACATTGGCTTCTCTCTGGCCCTTGAGAACTCCATAGCAGCTCTAGTTTTCGATCAGATTCGTTGTCACACCCAATTTATCTGTATCCATGACATATGGCGGAAGAGTTTAGAGCTTTAGTATCCAAGGCGGGGAAGTTAATAAATACTGTAGGTCGAATATAAGCTCTTGTGGATATTTCTCTGCCGAAATGAAAAACGTGGGCAACACTTTCTGAGTAACCCTTGTAATCTGTTTACACTTCTCAAGGGATCCAATAGCCACTGGTATTACAGAGTTTGTCGTGTTAATATTCAACTCCAAGACAATGTAAGTGACATGCATACGGTATAGCTATTTGCGCCTAGGACCTCTTCTTATTTCTGTTCTAGGTTTCTGTCTGTGGGGCCTTGTGGTATGTTCGACTAAAATATGCGATATGAAAACGCCTTAAGCCTGTTTTCATCATGCCTGAAATGACAACAGTACAATCCAACTAACTCTGTAGTAAGAGACGGCGGATAATGAAATGCTGTTCAATAAATTTTCATACCTGAAAACAGTGAAAAAATGTTGCATGAGGGCCATGGTGCCCGTAACAAAAATATGAGAAAAGGATTCAACATTTTCAAATGAAAATTTTGCACAATACTTTTTATTTTGCAACAAATAATGTAAATCAATATTGCAGTCTAACCTGTCTTTATATTTTTCACACTGGATTAATAATTCTGACGGGTGCTTACATGAGAGGTGAAAGCTTTACCTCTGATATTTAATTTCGTACCATTTTCCATTATAGTCATACTGCAGTTGTTTCTTTCTGGGTTTCCCACAAAACCGTGCATTCTTCGGATTCCTCTGTGGGTACAAATGGAATTAAATCTACAATTCAGGCTCTTTTACAATACGTACAATTTGCAAGTGAACAAGAAACTTTTCATGGTGGAATGGGCACTGATGTGTACAAACCAAGAAACTGATTATTTTAAACGATCTAAAGAATTTTACTGAGTAGACAAATGCAACAGCAATCTCGAGTTTCTGGTTTCTTTTTTCTTTTTCACACACTCCTCTAAACTGTATATAACATTTTCAAACACAACTCTTCGAGACGCTTATATTTCTGAGAAAAGGCCATCGATATGTTTTGAACTTAGGCTGGATGTTTAACGAAACTGTACTAACTGCAGAGGCTATTCAAGTGAAACTGGATCAAGGGATGAATATGAACTGAAAATGAATTGAAAGAATGTGATGTGACCTATTTCAAGGCACTATCCGAAATTTGTATCTCCTGAACAGGCTCGATTTGCTCGATGCTTAACTAACTTGCTGCTAGGCCGCGCCATAGATCAAGCGGTTAGTCGCCGGCTTCCCACCTCGGCGGCCCGGGTTCGATCTCGGGTCTGGTCAAGTGGGATTTGTGGTGGACAAAGTGGCGCTGGGGCAAGTTTTCTCCGAGTACTTCGGTTTCCCCTGCCAATCTTCATTCCACCAATTGCTCCACAATCACCCTCACCTATCCTCTGGGGCTGGTACAATAGTCCAGAAGCGGCCGCAGTATAAGGGACTTAGTAATAATAAAAAAAAAACTTGCTGCTGGCTTGGCTTACTGTTCGAGCCCCTTTAGATGGAGGCAGTACGTTCCTCTGAAAAGTCAGTAAACTACTGTCAGACTACAGGGCGTCACATCCCAGATGATATCGGTACGTACAAATTGTTTGCTGGTATCCCTGCCGGTTAAAAACACCGGAAGTGGTAATTAGTAAAGCACCGCTTTAATCCAATCAATATCACCGATATGGCAAACACTCCCAGCGTGACTGAGGGTTCTTCGCGGTTTTCTTCCCTCCTTGAAAATGCTGGTAGGTCACGACCCATTGAAAACAGTTCCAATTTATCGTGTACCATATGCACCTGACAAAACGTCTTGGAACAACCATACATACACGTACAAGCATCAATCTCTAACTCACTGCCGCGGTAATATAACAAATTTATTAAATGTCAGACCTTAGTATAGTTGTAAGAGTAATACTGCTGTAATAGTAATGCACGAAGAGAGACACCACGCACACATACGGAGTAAAATATTAACCCACCCTCCTCGCACGTTAGGAGCCATCTTTCGGCCGTTCGAAACGGATCCAGGAGGGTGTGCTATTGAGCTGTGAGAGCCAGTTTGTCTGCGGAAACACGTCATTACACTACAAAATCTAATATTGCATGTTTTGTTTTGTCTCATAGTAAGCCACACAATTTTGTTTATGTAGAGTTCCGTTCAGCAGGAGTTTGTAAAGACCTGGTATTGTGTTCGAGTTCAGAAATAAGAGGCTACGCCCCATTACATCTAACAGATGAATGTTCAAATGTGGAGATTTCAGCATCAGTTTGATCACCGAAAGGTTGACCGCAGCTTTTAAAACAGCGTGAAAATGGCATATACCGTGTTCATTAGTTTTATGGAGAGACTGTTAATTTGTATTGTGCATGGGAAGCTCCAGTCTGATGTTTCCAAGCTGGTATTCCTCAAGAGATTCTGTGTGTGTGCATGAATGATACAGCTGAATTAGTCAAAAACAAGATGTCAGGAGGGGAACGCAGAAAGCGAACTTCTAGGGGGCAAGGATGGGAAGAGGCTGGGGCAGAATTTTATCAGGAGAGTTATCCAGCTGATGTGGACTTGGAGGTTTGGCAGCGTGACCCAGCTCATATTGCAACTCTTTTACCAAGCAAACAGTCTCGGGCAGGTATGAAGGGGCCATGGATTGTTGCATTATTTTATTTAGTATCATAACATTTATAATTTGTGGTGATATAAATATAAACTATCTCATCGACAGTAATAGGAAACTAAATTTAGACTTTTTGTTATCATCTTACAATCTCTCCAGTACTGATAACTCAAAATTAAGAGACTATACTGTAGGACCCTTTATAAATGGCTTATCTGATCATGATGCTCAACTCATAGAAATAAATAATATTGACCTTCAGCCCAGTAATCGACAATATCAAACAGTAAGGAAAATCAACAAGCATACGATGGCAGATTTTGTCACAAAATTAAGTAATGAATCATGGGACAATGTATTTGACAGCAATAATATTGATTCTAAATTTAATTGCTTTCTGAACACATACTTGAGGATCTTTTATTCAAGCTTTCCCTTAAAAATAGTCAAAAATGAAAATAAAAACAAATCCACCTGGATAACAATTGGAATAAAAACTTCATGTAAACACAAAAGACAACTATATTTGGCCAGTAGGGACAGTAATGATCCAAGACTAAAAAGTCACTACAAAATGTACTGTAAAATTTTGTCAAAAGTCATTAAAGAAGCCAAACAGAATAACTATAACAGCCAAATTCTAAAATCAAACAATAAAATTAAAACCACCTGGGATATTGTGAAAGTTGAATCAGGAAAGAAATCTGTTAATGAAGACGTACAAAGTTTGAATATTGAAGGGAAGTCCACTAACAATCCACAAGCTATCGCAAGTGCATTTAATGAATATTTCCTTTCATTAGCTGAGAAAACATATTCCAATAATAATAATAATAATAATCCTCCAATATACTATCTGTCTCGTGCCTTTAACAATTCATTTCCAAATATCAATCTCAAATTCTCAACAAGGAAGGAAATTGAAAACATTATTAAATCCCTTAAGCCCAAAAATTCACATGGATATGATGAAATCTCTACCAAATTACTTAAAGCAAGCTCTGTTTACATCAGTTCACCCTTGAATCATCTATGTAATAAATCTTTATCATCAGGTACTTTTCCTCAACGCTTAAAATACGCTGTAATGAAACCACTTTTTAAAAAAGGAGAGAGAAAATGCATCTCTAATTACAGACCAATATCCATATTGACTTCATTCTCAAAAGTCTTTGAAAAAGTTATGTATAATAGACTACTTGAACACTTAAATTCTAACAACATATTAGTCAAAGAGCAATTTGGATTTAGGAAAGACCTAACAACAGAAAAAGCAACCTATGAACTAACTAACGATATTTTAAGTGCTCTCAATGACAGATTAATTGTGGGAGGGATTTTCTGTGATCTAGCAAAAGCTTTCGATTGTGTTAATCATGATATCTTACTATCGAAATTAAATTTCTATGGAATAACTGGCAAAGCTAATGAATGGATCAAATCATACCTCAAAAACAGGTATCAAAGAGTTGAAATAAATAATAAAAACTCCAGTCATAATGCATTTTCAAACTGGGGAATTATAAAGCACGGTGTTCCACAAGGATCAATTTTAGGTCCCTTACTTTTTCTTCTCTACATAAATGATCTATCTAAAACCATCAACAATAAATCTAAACCAATTCTATATGCAGATGACACTAGTATAATATTTAAGAACTCTAAATTTGAAAACTTTAAAAATGACATAAATATTGTATTTGAAGCCTTAAACAGATGGTTCGAAGCCAATTTACTCTCATTAAATTTTGATAAAACCCATTACATATCATTCACAACTAAAAACAACCACCAAATTGATCTGGACATCAGTTATGCCAACAAATTAATCTGTAAAGTACTTGATACAAAATTCCTTGGAATACATGTAGACAGTACACTGTCTTGGAAAATACATATTGAACAAATTATACCTAAATTAAATGCAGCTTGCTATGCGATGAGATCAATTAAGCCTTTTATGTCACAGGAAACATTGAAGATGGTTTACCATGCCTACTTTCATTCTATTATGAACTATGGATTAATATTTTGGGGGAACTCTTCACATAGTGTAATAATTTTTAAAATACAAAAGAATATAATTAGAATCATTACAGGATGTAGAAGTAGAGATTCATGTAGAGAATTATTTAAGAAATTAAAAATTCTACCTCTTCAATCGCAATACATATTATCGCTTCTCTTATTTGTTGTTTACAACAAAGATAAATTCAAATTAAATTCTGATGTCTATAACATGAATACTAGACAAAAATATAACTTCCACCTACCCTCATCAACTTTATCAGTATATCAAAAAGGAGTCTACTTTACTGGCATAAAAGTGTTCAACAATCTGCCACAAAGTATTAAAAACTTGGGCAATGATACTAAAAAGTTTAAATCAGAGTTAAAGAATTATCTACATGCTCATTCCTTCTACTCTTTAGATGAATACTTCAATGTAAATAGAGAATGATGTAAAATTAAGTTATATTAATTTTTAAGCTAAAATTGCCTGTACTTATGTATGTAACCTTTTGACTTGTTCTGTATCCAAAGGTACTAAACTACTTAGGATTTATAGAATGTAAATAAATTCAATTCAATTCAATTCTACAGTTCTGGAATGCTGGAGGGATGACTATTTCTAAGTTTTCGTATCTGTCTTTAGACTTACAGGTAAAGCTGTGCCTGTAACAGGCAGTGGAGACCCATAGTGTTGTGAGACGTCGAGGATCCCACATTTTCTAGATGTACAGTTGGAAAATGTAGTATTACGATATAATTTTGTTGGTTTGTCCCTGCACCCAGGGATTCCTACTGACTGTGTATCTGATTAAGAAACTATAAAAACAGGCCAAGGTTCATCATGGACTATAGTGCCTACAGATTATTATTATTATTCACACTGATAGAGCAAATAGTTAAAAGTGCAGATTCCCCATTACATCTTAGTGCATGCAAAGGTGACTGAAAATTCTGGAGCTTGTCAAAGACATTAAATAAACACACCATAATTTGCAATACTATTCTTCCACATGATTTACATTAGATTTTCTCTTCTGGTTAGGAACCTAATTCATATGTGCACATGAAACTGCTACACACAAGGGTGTCAACTGTGACTTGCTAATAGTTTGTAATAATGTCTGTGTTCTGCCTCTGTTCATGTCAGACATTACTTACTCTATGCATGCATTCGTATAATCAGCGCAGGGTAGACATAGTTTCTTAGTGTTATCTGTTCGCCTGACATGCTAGCTCACAGACTGTACAAATGGGAATGTGACAGTGTCTGCAACAGTACTTGTATATTTTTAAATAAACTATATCATAATCTGGTATAATAAGCATACAGTTAAACTGTTGGTAATGTGTCACTTGAGACTGTAAAGCCAGTATAAGTTATAGGTATCATAAATCAGACTTTCAAACCAGTGTCAGTCTAAGGACAGACAAATTTGAATATATGGAGCAAAATTACCATATGGCAGTGAAGAGGGAATCATAAGGACAACTTGTGTTTTGAGGATTAATATTACTAGAAGTGTGTTTCATGAGACTGCAGGTTATTCATTTTAAAAATAAAGTAATGAAATCTTCTCAGGATATCAATAATGTTAACTGGTTAAAAGTGACCAGTGTTCCAGGGAACATCTCTGACCCCATCATCAGAAGTATAATAGAATTACAAATTTTGTCAGGACCTGGTTTTATGGAACAATATAGAAGAAACCTGGACATACCATCTCTGATAGTATCCTAAATATATTTACGTATTGACCCAAAGGTAGAGAATGTTTAGGAACACTACAAAAGGTGGACAGATTCTGCTTTCTAATAGTCATTTCAGGGCAAGTGGTTTAAGATTGGGATGTTGATGATGACAACGACGACTTGGTACCTATTGGTGTAAAAGTCATCAGTGAATTAAACATTGTATCACAAGAGAGTGCAGTTAATTTTGGCATTTGTATATAACCATTTAACTCCTGTGTTGTTTTTACAGCAACAAGTAAGCGTGTCCGAGGAGAGGTAAAGCCAACCCTGCGCCGTCGCACATCCACACGCTCACGGTACTCAAGTACTGCTCGACGGACATCCACAGCACATGACGTACACATGGCTATGTTGCCAGATCTGTCAGGTACATATTTCAACCATAATCTTTTGATGTTATGTTTCAAATTACATTTATGTAAATGTGTGTCTAGAACCACCACTCTAACTTATACTGATGAATGAGAGGTTGTATTTTGATCTGAAGATCGTAATTATGAAGGTGGTATCATTTCTTGATTGTGTCCCTAATCTAGTATTAGGGGATATAAATCTCCTGCTACATGGTGCTGTCAGCCAGATGTTAACTTGGTGGTAATGGTACTTATATTATAAACAGTGTGAAGATAGGCCAGTGGGACCCACAAATGCACAGCAACAGGATGATGATGTATGGATGATAAAGGTTAATATAATCACTCCATGGCAGAGTCTTTTGCAATAAAGAAACTCTGTTTGTTATTCAACCTGAAGGTTCATCATCATAGTTGGCAACTTATTATTAGCTATATTCTGAGCCATTTCTTATTTTCACAACTTCTCCATAAGATATTTTTACTATTATTCTTTCATCTACACCAGACTTTCAGAAATTATGTCTTCAAGAATTTCCTTCCAAAATATTGCATGCATTTCTTGCTTCCTCAGGTGTGATACGTCTTCACCCATCTCCTTGATTTAATCACCTTAATACATAAGATTAGGTGAGGAGCATAGATTCTGAAGCTTCTGATGCAGTTTTCTCCAGTCCTTTGTTCATCTCCCATAGCTTGCAGTGTTCTCCTCAGCACTTTGTCTTCAGTAAACATCCTCAGTCTCTGTTTTTGCAGCGAGGCCAAATTGCATACCCATTTAAAGTATTCGGTAAAATATATACAAGTATTTATTTATATTTTTTAATCTTCAGCTGTGAGGTTCTGAATCTTAGGGCCCTGTTGTTGAGTGGCACTTGATTTGTTACTGTTTGCAGAAAACTTGTCAAATGAGGAGCGGACATGGGAAGAGATCATGCAGATAAAAGCCATGCCTGTCAGCATGATGCAGAAGAAGGAGATGAAGGCAAAATTGCAGGTTGGTTATATTCTTACTTTATCTTTCATTATGTCCACGAACAAGTGACTGACACAGTTCTTTCATTCCAGACTGCTACAAAGCTGCGTCTGCAGGGCTTCGAGCAACTCAAGTGGCAACGCAGAAAGGTCTGGCAGCAGATGAAGAGTCGCTGGAAGGAAACATACTCAAAACTGGAATTGTGGCGTCACAGTTTGAAAAAGATTGAGGGTAACTTTGGGACTGGAGTGGTGGCATACTTTCTGTTCATAAAATGGCTCATGTTTCTCAACCTGTTCATCTTCCTGTTTATACTGTTGTTCATCATCCTTCCAACATTAGTTTTGGTACCACAAGAATCACCTGCCAATACTACCCTTGTTGAGGAGTGCTCAAGAAACTATTTCAATTTGTCAGTAGATTCTAGTTTTCTTGATTGGGTGCAGGGCACTGGGAATATGGAAAGAACTATCATGTTCTATGGTTACTACACGCACAAGCTAATAAGTGAAGATGGGAATATGCATTCCTATTACAATTTACCTCTTGCATACATTGCAATTGCAGTAATTTATCTCCTTGGTAGTCTAGCAGTGATGGTGAAATCTGCAGCACAAGGCTTCAAAGAGCGCCTGGTAGAAGGGGAGGGTCAGTTCTACCAGTATTGCAACTTAGTGTTTGGAGGGTGGGACTTCTGCATACACAATGAGAAGTCTGCCAGCATGAAGCACAAGGCACTATACAATGAGATGAAAGCTTGCCTGGAGGCTGAGAGGTTAGAAGAAGAGCGGCAGAATCGCTCCCGGGACGAGATGCTCAAACTGATGATCATGCGCTGTATCATCAACCTGATAGTTCTGATGGTGCTGTCTGGGGCACTTGCGCTCATCTACTACACATTCTACTTCTCTCAAGAGAGACTGAACAAAGAACTCCTGAATCCCAATACAGAACTAGAATATCTCTACAAGTTCATTCTGGAATTCCTCCCATCCATCATCATTGTGTGTCTGAACCTGTTGGTACCAAACATGTTTGCTTACCTGGTGTCATTTGAACGATACAGCCCACTGTTCATAGTGCGAATCACTCTGCTACGGACAGTTCTGCTGCGCCTTGCTTCTCTTATCATGCTGATGTTCTCACTGAAGGATATCATAATTTGTGATGAGCCAGACAGCTGCAGCTGTGAGGACCATCCAAAATGCTGGGAGACATATGTTGGTCAGCAAGTTTACAAGTTGGTCATACTGGATTTTGTCACCCATGTTCTTATCACCTTCACATTCAATTGGCCTCGAATGCTAATTGCAAAGTATTCGAAGAGCAAAGTTGCGAAGTTCATCGGTGAGCAGGAATTTGAGCTGCCGAAGCATGTTCTAGATGTGGTATACAGTCAAACTCTTTGCTGGCTTGGCAGTTTCTATGCCCCCGTCCTACCACTTCTGGCTATGCTGGAGTGTTGTCTACTGTTTCACATAAAGAAGTTTGCCTGCCTGGTGAACAGTAGGCCCTCATCAACTGTGTACCGTGCATCACGCTCCAACTCCCTCTTCATGGTGGTGCTGCTCATTTCCTTCATTGTTGCAGTGCTGCCAGTGGCATTTGCTATAGCCGAGATCCCTCCTTCCAAGTCTTGTGGACCATTCCGGGGACATCTGACAACATGGTCTGTGGTGGTAGAGTCATTTGATCAACTGCCAGCGTGGATCAAATCCATCATGTTCTTCTTTGGTACAGCTGGCTTTGCAGTACCAATATTTGTTGTATTGGTCCTTTGTTTGTATTATTTCTATGCTGTTTCAGCAGCCAATAAGCAGATGGTTATGGTTCTTAAGAACCAGCTAGTGTTGGAGGGTCATGACAAGCAGTTCCTGCTGAATCGACTCAGTGCATTCATTAAACAGCAGCATGAGCACCAGAAAGTAATGCGACAGGTTGAAATGACCAACCTTGACCTCTCAAATGCCAGTTAAAGTTGATCTGTTAGTTCAGTATTTTTGGGTAGGACCAGCGATGGCCCCAAAGCCAACTCTAAATCTAATGCTTGTGACACTGTCTGCTCGTTGTGATACATGGCTATGGCAAAGGAATTAAGCTGCAGAACACAATAAGAACTGTAGTAGGTACAATCTACTTTAGTCAGAATTCTGTAGTAAAACATTGGTCTGCCACAACAGAGAAACAAACCAGAGTCTGTTACTCTGATATTATCTGCCCTGTGTTTGAAAGCTTAAAATTTACTTACATACATAATCGCCAAATCAAAATATACTTAAGATAGAATCTATGGCTTTGAAAGACATCACCAGTTTATATTTTGTACATTTCTTTTCATACCTTGATTATTTTAGGCTGGTGTTCAAATGGAAAAAAGTTAATTTTGAGTGATTCATCCTATGTGTATTCATCTCTACCTTCTCAATTCCCATTAACTTTAGGTTGACTTTATGAAACTGTGTGATAGTTTATGCTATTGGAGAGAGCCTGACACCATATTTTATAATTAAGTAATTCAACACAGTGAGTGTAACACTAATGCCACTCAAGGCATAATACCAAAAAATTATTTCATAAGAGGTTTACCTTAAAGCATGAAACTTTTATGAAAATCAAACATAATAGAGTTGCCACTCAAAATATCTTTCATTCTATGATAACTGATGAATCACTGCAGTGAAGCATGTTAAGTCTGGTATGAGACTCTTTTTGCGTGTGTAGTGGACCAAACCTTGGAGGTATGTTTTCTAAGCAGATGGAAATTGACCGTTTTAGGTTAGGTCTCACCCAATCTACTTGATGAAATAATATGAAAATGCTTGTTTGTGCTTAGTGTTTCAAGGCAGTGTCTAGACACCGACAAAATTATATGCAAAATGGATGGAAACAGGTGGGTCACACCCCATTGCAGTTTCCAGTCATTCCTTGGGATCCCACAGACTAATTTGATTCAGGTTTTACACCACTGCTGCCTGCCTGTAATACATGCTGTTGAGGAATGACCAAACAGAAACCAAAGCCTGTGATCCAGCAACAGCAGTAGCATCTGTGAATTTGTATCTCTTTGTCTAAAGTTCTGCAGCACCACAGTGAATTTAATGATTTCAAAAGCAACACCACCCCGTTTGTTTCCCAGACTAGTCAGACCACATCTGGCACAGGACAAAGGCCTCAGCTGGCATGACTGTGTGCTACAGGGTAAGCATCATGACAATACTAGTGTGATACTTCAGATCTCCTTTTCTATATTACATGTGTGAAGACAAACATGCATGGTGCTTACAGTGTGATTGGTATAGAGTTCTTACGTCTTGCCACAAAAACAATATGATGTCCAAGTGCTAATCATGATTTTGTGGTTTGGAATGATGGCCAGGTATATAACTGAACTAGGACTGATATGTTGTCAACATGGGAGAAATATTATTCACCCAGAAACAGATGGAAAGGGATTTATGTGCCAAAGGGACCACAACAGGCCTATGAGGGTGTAAATGATGTTCTCGCCACCTTTTAAACAAAATACTCGTGTTGGCTAAGACCTACTTATCAAATTGTTGCATGGGACAGACATCACTGAATGAAGGTGGCATTTCATTCTTTAGTGGAACATTCCAGAATACTCTCTCCTTACCAGTGTCTCACGGCAATGTGCATTTTATATTTATCCGGACATATCTCCATTACTATGGCTGCTATATAAAGTAGATATTACAGTAATGTCAATCATTTTTACAAAATTTTATATCAGTATAAAAGTTTTGATATTATCCTTTAGCATAATTTTGATATACAGACATGAGTGTAGCCACTGTAGCAGCATAAACATTTGAAGCCAAACAATGTGAGAAGCTTGTCAAAAAACTGGCTGTGAAATACTGTGCTTACTGTGGGTGGAGTTGTCGTATAATGTAGTAGTAGAGACGCTGTCTGTACCAGTCTAGAGTGATGCATCCCCAGTGTTGTCTCCTTGGTAGCACAGTGATCCTCCAGTGACTGTAGTTTCCTCACCTCTGCCAGCTCAGTGTCATAAAACAGCCAGTAATTATTCATGTCTGGGTGCTGGGGGCTCATGATAGGCAGCAGTAGAATAAGGACAGGTTCCCCAGGATTGACTGATGTTTACTCCTCAGCATTTAATATGATACCATTTGTGGAAAATTTTGTCTCTTCTGTTGAATGTTCCTGTAGGATTATATTTGGAATGGTTATCAGACTCTTGTGGTGCGCTGTGCTACCAACCAAGCCATTGTAATATGTAACAATAAATAGAAGTAGTAATAATTGAATACAGAGTACTTATAGAGCTCAGCCATCTTGTGTAATGCAGCGGTTCTCATCTCATCTTTCACTTCCTCTGCAGATGAATTTGAAAAGCAACTGAAATATCCAGATGGTTGAGAGGAGTTTAGACAGGGTTCTATATAAATGTTGACTTAAATTCAGAGTTGTACCAAAGAAAAGTATTCAAATAACAAATAATAATGATGATGGTCATGTATGTACATTTCATTGATAACTGCCTTTTGTATATCACTTTGAACCTTACATGAGCTATAGGTTGCTTATTGTTCTTCCTCACATTTGAGTGACTCTGCCTGATATGCCAGTGGTGCTTGACTGTAGAATCTTAAAATACTTATACAACATGGAATTAGAAAAAATCATTTCGCTCAAAGCGGGTATATGAAATTTCATCCATACATATTAGTCATGTAGAACAAAGTTTATTAGACTTGACAATGCAAATTTTGTGCATCTTCATGTACTACTTACACATCAGTAAACGATAATGAACAAGTCACAGTAATGTCAGAAATTTCATGCAGGAAGCCATGTCAAATGGGACAGAAGAAACTTTCCACCAGTGGATATGGGCCATAAGGTGCAGAAAAGGATACAAATGGCATTTTATAAATGTAACAAATGACAGAAAACAATTTGGAAATGGAGTAGGTGTTTAATGACTTCTGAAAGATATAAAAACTGCAACTAATCTTTGTGAAAAACATTTCACAGAATCACAGGGAAGGGAATATGTTTAAATCCAGTATTTCCACTGTGGGCTTGAAAACCAATGATGGTGAGTGAAACTGATGATTTGCTTGGGGGTATTTATGCTAATGGCATATTGGAATTGTTTTAATACTGTGAGGACTAACACACGAAGCTGAATTACTAGGGTAATGTACAGCAGATATTACAGGTCTTGCCTACAAGGTTTGACTACACTTGTAGAAATTGAATTTGATTTGTTTCATTCTGGTCCATCACACTAACAATATCATGAAAAGTTAAACAGTTCTGTCTAGTGTGACTGGTGAAGATTTTTCTTATTTCAATTATTTATGCCCTTACATGTTTCGGTCTTCAGAGACCATCATCAGAGGGGCAACTTTACATCAGTACAGTTGGAAGTTACTATTACAATATATGTGCTGAACATAACATATATTGTGACATGTTCCCGCTATGCAGGACATCCCCCCTCCCCCGCCAGTGGAAATAACAGCGCTAGTTGTTAACTAGCTAGTTAACGCGGCCCCCCTCCCGCTCGCGGTGACGTAACAGGCCATTCAACACTCCGCCTCCCTACACCACGGTGAAGTGTTGCTAGGCAAGCGGTAAACATGACGTCATGCAACAGGCAAGCTGTGCAAGGACTGTTGCTAGGAAATCTGTAAACACGGCTGTACTAAACAGCGGTACCTATTACGTAACTGTTTTGTGTTGTCCGTACCGAGGCTAAATAAGTAGCAGCGAACACTATTCAGGAGTTGAGTTCCAATGTAGCGATCGCCAAGTTCAGTGATTATTGAGTATTGAGCCAGTTACTATGAGTTACTAGAGAGAGAGAGTAACTAGTCAGTTGCTGTCTATCTTTCGCCGGAGTATATGTGATACTGCCAATGGCAGTACTTGTCAGATTGTAAATTGTGATTGTAAGAGCGAGTGTTCAATAAATTCGCTATATCAAATACGGCGTGAAGTTACTTGTCGCGTGACATATACCCAACACGTGACAATATAATATACAATTGTGTATAAAATCTTGGGTTCACAGTTAGACGAAGGGTTAATGTATGAAACAAAATGCAGGAAGTAGCAACGTAAGTGTTGTATAGTACTGCTGATTCACGCGGAACTGCCAAGGCGTACAGAGCACCAACTCAGAGAGACGGCCTGAGCAGATCCAACCCTCTCTACCGAGATGACCAACCAGGACAGATCTTTGGGGGAGAATTCGCTCTAATTAAGGGGCGTAGCTTACCCCAAAGACTGGAGTCAGCAGGGAAAAAGTTATAAAGTAGCTGACACAACTGGAGGAGTGATCAATCAATCGATCAATCTATCTGTCTATCAGAGTGTACAAATGTTACGTGAGTAGCCAGCCAGAGGCCAGAGCCATGGTCGTGACGGAGAGAGGGGACACCATCAGCTTCCTACACCAAGTAAGTCGAACTGCTCATATCAGTCATGGATATAAAGTGAGGTATTATTAAAGTGCTATTTTACAAGGTTAGGGCAGAGAGAGAGAGGCAGAGGGAGAGAGTAGGCCCTGAGCAGGAACGGAACTACCACGAGAGTTAGGGTGGTGAACCCAAGTGCGTATTTATCTAAATTACAATGTGTACGTAACCAGCCACTGTCGGCCATGAAAGTGAAAAGTGTATATATATATTAGTAGACAAAAGTAGACCAAGTAAGGGGGTTGCGTGTGAATGACTTACCCCACAGTCTCACCCTCTTATCTCCCGCGATCTCCTGTACCTCCCATGTTATCGATACTGTGAACTCACAGCTAAGAGGTAGCTAACGAGACAATTACCAAGCGCTTAGCCTTGCAACTGGCCATTTCCCAAGGGCGCAACGGCATGGATGGCGGAAGAGGTGGAGAGAATCCTCCACTCCCCCTTCACGCCATAACATATGCAACTACAGCGGCTGTTCCAATACATTAAAATATTTGTAATTGGTTTGTTAAGATTTTATTGGAATTTATAAACCAAGTAGAGTGCTAGTACTTAGAGGTGACAGTCCGCCGACGTGGGGTAGAAGTATTGGTAGTGGCGGGGAGAGCTCCAGCATGCCGACAAGTGTGGCGGGGAATGCAGTAGATGCGTTCTCAAAAGGAAATAACTTCTTACCTCATTGTGTTGCATAGTGATGGTGGCTTAGTCTTGATGTTCACACACTCTGTGTTAAGTTTTAAGTGCCGAATGACAGACTATTATGCACTATACACTATTATATACTTGTCACTGTTATATACATGAAGAGTTTATTTACATATTACACAGGTTTATTCTAACACTGGCAATGTCCGCATAGATATCTCCACATGCCTGTCCTTTCTCGTCACCACCAGATGAATCGGAGCTATCATCAGAACTGTCATCACTATCACCGCCAACATGGACGACGAACTCCCGTCCTGCATCCAAAAGGCCTTCCTGTGCCATTAATTGTTGCTCAACGTTCCTTACATGTTGACACTTACGTTGCCTTTCTTCTGCAGTTATAGAAGCCAATTTTTGGTCTGCCAGTTTAATGACATCATCCATTTTAAATGTATTATTTTGAGCAATCCAATTTTTTACGGTGGCCCATATTAACTCAATTGGGTTGAGTTCCGGGTGATACTGAGGGAGTCGTAAAATATTGTGATTGTGTTCTGCAAAGATTCCATCTATTTTATAGGAAAGGTATTTTGGTTTGAGTGATAGGATCATAATATATATTGTAACGTCTTTTGTGTATAACGCGACAAATGACTTCACGCCGTATTCGATATAGGGAATTTATTGCATATTCGCTCTTATAATCACACCATTTACAATCTCACAACTACTGCCATCGGCAGTATCACAAATACTAGACTGCAATTAACTGGTTACTCTTTCTCTCGTAACTGGCTCAGTACTCACTAACTAACTAACTACTAAGTACTGAATAGTGTTCGCTATTCCTTATTTAGCCTCGGCACGGACAACACAGAAAACAGTTACATAATACGTACCGCTGTTTAGTGTTTACCGACTTCCTAGCAACAGTCGTTGCACGGCTCGCCTATTGCGTGACGCCATGTGTACCGCCTGCCTAGCAACACTGTTGAGAGTTGTATACTGCTCTGTAGCAACGGCGGCATCCCTTTGTAACGTCACCGCGGGAGGGGGCGGGGTGCTGACTGGCCTATTACCGTAGCAGCAGCGACGATGGTGGGGGATTCCGCAATGATGAAAAATCAGTCTTATTGGCAGTAACAGGTGGAAGGTGATATTTTAGCCAGGATATCATAAAATCTCTTCTTGAATTTGAGTTAGGGACTCTGTTTAGTTGTACATGATGGTAGGGAGCATTATCAATGACAAGGACAGAATTTGGGGGAAGGTTAGGAATAAGTCGCTCCTTTAACCATTTTTCATAATTGATGTAGTTCATGTCACTGTGTTAGTCTCCTGTTTTTGGTGGGATTTGAAGCGGACATAGGCATTAGGGATGAAACCTTGCTCTCCCCCTTTATGGATAACTGTGAGCTGTTGGCCTTTGGACACAGGGGAAAATAATCCTTGGATGGATCCATCACTCCATGCATATGGGGTGGTGTGCGATGAATAAATATAGGTTTCATCCATGTAGATGATTGGGTGGACCTCTTCCCTATATTCTTTAATTTGCCGCAAATACTGAAGACGTTTGGCTCTGATATTAATATATCGTTCCACCAATATCTTTCGATTATTTTTTGTTTTCTCCCAGTGGAACCCCAGTTTCAAAATAATTTTCTTTAATTTGGAGATGCACCCCTGAAAATCTAACGTTTTCTTCAACTTTTCATGAACTTTTTTCAGGGTACCTGTCCGTTTTTCATCTGTGTAGAAGTCATTAATTGTTCTTTGCATCACAGACTCGTTAAAGTCGTCCAAAGTGGTTAGTGGAGATTTCCTAGGTCTTTATTTATGGGGTGTTGAAAAGGAAGTGGAAGCCCTAGATTCGATATTTTTTGTTTTCTCTTATTATTCTTCTGACACTACTTTCCGATGCACCTGTTGCCTTTACTTCTTCCACTCCTATGTTCCTCACTGTAACTGTTGGCCCAGCCTCTTTCATATACTTGTATACATTACTAACAATTTCTCTTGATTGTGAATGCAACACTTTTCCACTCAGTTTACTTTGTGTAGGTGGCATGTCTCACAACCCTATGGGCCTTCACGGCCTCATATAGGGATAGCTTTACTTTTACTTTAATTATAAATCATCATGTAAAATCAATGGCCAACAGTGGTCAACTAAAGAACATATAATTTCCACGGTAATGCAATCTGGGTCAGTCATATATGAGAAAGTTATGTGCCGTGTTCACGCACAACTTCTTTACTTTTTCATACATGTAACTTATAGAAGAGTGAGACATCAATCTCAAGATGTTGGTGGATTTACAGAATTTCAGTCCCCCTGGTTACAAAAAAAGTGGTTTTAGGTATGCTTACCTTGCAT